ACTGCAAGGAGATCCCACCAGTCCATCCTAAAGGAGATCAATCCTGGGTGTTCATTGGAAGGACTGATGCTGAAGTTGAAACTCAAATACTTTGGCCATCTCATGCGAAGAGTTGACTCATTGGAAAAGACCCTGATGCTGGGAGGGATTGGGGGCAGGAGGAGAAGGGGACGACAGAGGATCAGATGGCTGGATGGCATCACCAACTCGATGGGCATGAATTTGAGTAAACTCCGGGAGTTTGTGATGGACAGGGAGGCCTGGCGTGCTGCGATTCATGGGGTCGCAAAGAGTCGGACACGACTGAGCGACTGAACTGAACTGACTGAAGAGGCAGGGCCAGGGTCCTATAGAACCTTTCCGACTTCAAGCCCAGCTGCTGACCAGCTCAACACTGACGCGCATGCATGCATGCTTACTTGCTCAATCGTGTCTGACTCTCTGTGACCTCGTGGACTGTAGCCACCAGGCTCCTCTGTCCGTGGGATTCTTCAGGCAGGAACACTGGAGCGGGCTGCCATTCCTTCCTCCAGGGGATCTTCCCGACCCCGGGATAGAGCCCACATTTTCTGGGTCTCCTGCGTTGCAGGAGGGTTCTTCATGGCTGAGCCACCGGGGAAGCCTGCAGCATGGACACCTGACCCCACAGGACCCCGCGTTCGGTCCCGGGAGGGCAGGAGCCCCAGACTCACAGGTGGGTGTGTGCTAAGCCTGCTCTGGCCCTGCAGCAGTGTCACCCAGAGCCTCCGGGCTGTCCGAGTCTCTTATCTCTGCCCCTGGTGACAGCTCTTATCTGTCCCTCGCTCCTGTGCTCAGCATGATGTTGGGAAGATAGCGGGTACCCAGGCTCTGGCAAATCTCCTGTTCTCCCCCTCCCCCACCCTCAGGCCCGTCACAGGCCCATGACTTCCTGGGGGAGGGGGAAAGACTGCTTTGGATAAACCGTTTGGGTTTTAAAAGCGATGAGGTGACCTGGGAGGGAAGATAGGAGAGATTGACTGGAAAAGCTCTCTATCTTAAAAATGGAATCAGATACTACTAAAAAGCACCAGGGAGAGAAAAATGAACAGAAATGACCAAACTCACAAAAAAGATGCTCGGCCACCGTCACAATGAAAGAAAGTCCAATCAAAACAAGACAATATTCAGATGGCACCAAATTTTCTTGTACGATTACACCCACGGTCAGAGTGAGGCGGAGGGGAGGTTGACTACAGATCGGCTGATGAAAGAGTAAGTTGGTCCAGCCTTTGGGGCAGAATCGATCCAAATCAGAATATTCAAGTCTTCTGACCCTGAGGCTAGACTCCAGTGAGCTGGCCTTTTATCTGTACTTACAAAAATGTGGCAATAACCAGGTATGAGATGTTCACTGCAGTTTGCTTGTAACAGCAGAGACAAATGAAACCAGAGCAGCGTAAACAGCCATCAAAAATGGAATTGAATCGATTAATGATGCCCGAGCCAGAGAATGAACGAAGAACCCCTGTATGGGATGAGACAGAACAGTCTCCGAGACAGAACAGTCTCCAAGTCATACAAAGCATGAAAAGGAAGTCGAAGCGGGAGATGGGGGATATTTATGGAAATAAAAACATGAGAAAGTAAAAAGCGAAATAATATCACAGCTGAGTGTTAGGGACATGAGAGAATGTATTCTTATCTTTTGATAAGTTGTTATTTATTGATACAGGCTGCCAAACCCTTAGTCTAATGTTTAGGATCATAAAAAGAATTTTGAGTTTGTGAGCCAAAAAAAAAAAAAAAATCAAAGAACACTGTAAATGGTAAAATGTGTAGGTAAACTGGAATAGTATGTATTTGTATTTATTTGCAGGCACACAATCGCATATATGGGCTTCCCTGGTGGCTCAGCAGTAAAGAATCTGCCTGCCAATGCAGGAGACGCAGGTTCAGTCCCTGGGTCGGGAAGATCCCCAGGAGAAGGAAATGGCAACACACTCTAGTATTCTTGCCTGGAAAATTTCATGGATGGAGGAGGCTGGTGGGCTACAGTCCATGGGGTTGCAAAGAGTCAGACACAGCTTAGCGATTAAAGAGCAACAATAACCACGTACCCATTCTGGCATGGACATAAAAAATTTTCAAGATGCATACCCTAGCCTTTTGGGAGAAGTATTGAGGACTCAGAGGAAGGTAAACTTCTCCCTCTGGATTTTATGTCTTTCTACACCATCAGAATGTTCTTTATGGTATGCATATATTGCTTTTATTTTAAAAATAAAATTAAAAAATGCACTTTGAGCATATAATGTCAGTATATATTATAAAAAAGACACCAGGGACTCATTGGATCTGGGGTTTGTTTGCTGATATCAGTGAAGCGTAGTGAAATTTAAACTTTAATAAAAGTTGATTTCGGCATAAAGCACGAGTTCCTTTGCTTCAGCCAGGAAGCCCTAGGCCCCACCTGGGGCCCCAAGGAAGAGCAGTGGGTGTGGGTCTGCCCCTCCCCTGAGACCAGCAGAGGGGAGCTGGCTCTGGGTCCTGCCTGTGGGGAGGGCGGGCACCCTCATTCCGGCATCTGAGGTAGGCCTTGGTGCATGGTATAGCCCCTCTCCCTGAGCTGTCTCTGGCGCTCCCCTCCCTGCCTGGGAGAACTATTTCTGGCTTGTAGGCAACATTATTTAAAGTAACAGTGCCGCCCACTGCCTTTCCTACCAGGGAAACCCGCTTCGCTCCACCCAGACTGCCTCCTCGGTGGGTGGAAGAGGCAGCTGGCCAGCATCTTGATTTGCAAATCCAGAATGGCTGGCAGCATCACAGCA